AGGGAGGGAGAGAGGTGTAGGGGGAGAGGGAGATAGAGAGAGACAAAGAGACAGAGAGAGAGAGAATGTTAATGTGTTGGTGTGCAGGGGGTGGTCGTCAGGGAAAGTTCTGAGGAGATGCCTGAACTGACTTTCAGGGGATGACTATGGTTAAGTCTGGTGAAGAGGCAAAGAGGTGTCTCCTGTAGATAAAGCTGCCGGTGCAAGGGCACAGAAGCATAAGAAAGTATAACTCAGTCTCTATGATTGATGCATAAATTATTATTTCCCTAACAGCTTAAAATTTTTGAATGCATTTCTTTAATTTCACTACCGTCAAAAAGATTGGTTAATTATACTAGAAAAACAATTAATCTTCTTACCTTAATATTGATTATAATATCAGGTTTCAAATCTAAACTTTTCAGTAATTCTATTTGCTGCAAAATAGTCATGGCATCTTCTGAAAGTGATGGTATTTCTGTGATAATATAACCTGTAGAGTACAACAGAATTTTTAAAGTTTTATAATAATATCCACATATGAGAGCTTGGATTTATTATTATTACTTTATTAAATATCATCTAGTTATTGTTGGCATTTTAGTGCAGTGTCTTAAAATCATCTGCCAAAAATCTTTAAATTAATAGTTAAGGAAGTATAGCTATGAATAGTATTTTTCTGATAAATAAAATCTTTGGGCTAGGAGGAGACATCTTTAAAAACTCTAAATTTATTTTAGGCACATGAGGTACCTAGGGAAGGAAATTCTATGCTAATAATTATTTTAACTCATATTAGGAAAGCTCATATAATGAATGATAAAGGTATATTACAGGGGTTGCATGATATATTATTTTGCTTTCTTAATGTTTTATAATATAACAGGGTATATGTGTGTATAATGTATATGTAAGTTATAGAGAGTAATAAGACACCTCTCACATAGTGTAAGAAATTATCAATATGATTTTGGCATAGCACATCCATTGGTTTGCATCCCTACCCAGACACCCAAATCTTCTCATTGAAATTCACCCTGTTTACCACCATCACATTAATCTTCTTAATATATTTCTTTAATTATGTCACTGTCTTGCTTGATATACTTTTTTCTTATTAATAGAATAAAGTCTCAACTCATTCAGTGGAAATTCAAGGCCTTCAACCAATTTTCCCACTATTTTAACAGAACATTATTTTCTTGAAAGAACAACTGACAGATAAATTATGGTTATTCAGCTTTGGATATTTGGCAGAAATTTTGTAAAAAGTGAATGGAGTGAGCCTGTTATGTCAAGGACAACTACTGATAGATTTATTGCTAATTATAAAGTTCAAGTGAAAATTCAAATTTTGGAAAGCTTGTATCCAACTGCCATAAGATTAAGAGCTTCCCAATTCTTAAAACTTGTCCTGATGAGATTGGTGGTGGTATTAACAAATGGGATTTTTTGATATTATATAATGAAATGGGCCAACTTTTGGAAAGTCTGCATAACTCAGCAAACAAATATTTTGCAAATAACCAATGCATAATGTCACAAAATCATGCATGGGTAAAAGACGCATTCCAAGTGCAAGATAGAGTGGTGGATTTTAATGGAACAAAGTTTAAAATGTTCACTAATATGGTTTCAGATTCCACAATGTAACTAATCTTTAAGAAACTTCCACTTGTCAAGTTTTGGTGTAGGATCAAGAATATCCACAATTATTCTAAAGACTATTAAAATATTCTCCCTTTTCCAACTACACATCTGTGTGAACTGGATTTTCTTCATGTACTTCAACAAAAACAATGTATCGCAACAGATTAAGCAGAAGCTAATGTGGGAATCCAGCTAGGTATTCTCTTAAGCCAGACATTAAAGAGATTTGCAAAACTATAAAACAATACCACACTTCTCACTAAAATTTTTGCTTTGAAGAATGATTATTTTTATCAAATATGCTATTCATGTTAAATGTAACAGTTTTATTATTTTTAAACAAATATTTAAAACATTTCTTAGTTTTAATTTCTAATGTGATAAGTATTGATAGATATAACCCATGTAAACAAAAGCTCTTTTGGGGCCTCAACAATTCTTATAAGTGTAATGCAGTTTTGAGAACAAAAAACTTAAGAATGGCTATCCTATACAATGCCTTGAATAACATAATAAAAGAGTTACTAAGCATCTGTTGATAGATGAATGAATGTGTTTAATAAGCCAACCTCAAAATCCTCATTTAAGAAAGAACATGCTGACCACAATCTTTTATTTTAAAAAAAAATCAGATCAACAGTTATCATGGTAATCCAAAAATCTCATTAAATGCTTAGGCTTGTGCCAATTTCTCCTAAGCTTTCTCAAACACTTTATTTCTGCTAACTATGTGTTGGGCACTGTCCACAGAAGCAATCCTAAGTAGTTTACCTTCAAAAGGCAGAAAAGGAGACCTATTACCTTGGGTTTGGATATATGAGGTATAATCATGATTCTCTCCTGTCTTGCTATAATCCTTAGTTTCCAGCTTGGCTTACTTATTTGCTCTTCAAAGTCTTTGAAACACTTTGAAATAGTGGCAGGAGCCTAAGGCATTCATCCTATTTGAGGCTCTTTAAATGAGCTCAAGATACCCCTGCGAAAACACAGCCCTGCGTGCACTGGCATTGTCTCAGGAATCGGGTCAGATATGTCTCTGCTTGCTTCCTCCTGCTGTTCTTGCTTTTTGCTTTCTTGGCTCAGCATTCCCCCAGTTTGGTTCATTTCCTGTTGTTAATCTTGCCCCCACTTGATTAACAACCTTATTTGAACTTGTTTTCAAGACTTCGACCAGTGCCTCCTCTGGGACATGATGGCTGGCACTACCTCCCTGGTCTGACACATCACAATGGTGGGGACTGCAATGAAGGGGACAGCATGGCCGAGCTCTACGTTAAATTCATCCCTTGCTCACCCCTTCTGATCGGACAGTTCCCGAGACCTGTCAGTCTTGAGTACATGCCCTTCCCTTCTAAGCAACAAGAGATTATGCAATACCTCCCTCTCATTCCCTCTGTTGGCAATGCTGTCTAACATCTGTGTATCACAAGCAGATGACAGAAAGATGCTTGGCACTCTGTTTACTGTGCTTGCCAGCATGCTGCATATTACTACAACCACTGCCACTGCCTGGAGGGCTTATCAGGCATTCCAGGTGTGACTGTTGGCAGGTATGCTAAACCTCAGGTGTACTTGTATCTTTGAATGAGTTTCACACTTGGTCTCTTTCCTGAGGGAGGTAGCAGAAGAGGGGGTTGTTTCCATAGAATCTGGCCATTATTTGGGCTGCCTGAATGTCCTGAGCAGTGGATTTGGGGACTCTACCCAGTGAGATATGAGCAATCATCATCACATCCAAACCCTAGGAATGCATCTACGGAAAAGATGTGGGAGAGACATTTATGTCACTTAAATGTGTCTCACCACAGAAGATTTAGAGTTGAATAACTTCGTTTCCTAGACCTGATTCTGGGAAGAACTCAGGGTGATGCTTCTTTGTAAACAGAACAGAGCTGCTCAGTCCACTGACAACCTAATTCCAGAGACAAGTGTGGGAAGAAGCAGCACAGATGAGGACTTCCGGCCCCTGGCTCACATCTCCGGACACTACTACCTAGTTTGTGCCCTCCATACTGAAGATGAAGGGATGTTAGACCCCACGCCACTCCTTACTGGGAGCCTGTGCATGTACTATCGTAGACAGAGCAGGAAGTCTGCAGGCTAGTCCCCAGCCTGCATCACCCCACCAGGGGGAAACTGAAAGACCGTCCACACCATTGCACAGGGGGAACCAACTACCCCATAACCATTACTTTGTCCCCACTTCCTGGCACAGTGGGAAGAAGAAGGTATTCCCGATTTCCACAAAACTGAAGATGGCATGCTACTGCTTTCAGATTGAAGTGATGAGAGAGTCAGAGACACTGGGTAGCTTAGTGTCCAACCAGTTCTTAAATCCATCTGACCTCAGGCTAGCTTGACATGCGTGGACACAATGGTAATCAATGACTTGCAAGACCATCCACAGTGTGATACTCTTGGGGTAGGGAATGCCCAGATCAGGGCTGTCCAATTGACTCTACATTTTTCTCTTGGGTGAGGATGTAGTTCATGAAAGCTGATTTTGGCTCAAGGCCAACACAGCACCGATGGGTTCTGAATGAAAGGATTGTAATTATAGATTGTGTAAGTTCCTTCTAAATAGTGATAGGAACTCCGAGTATAAAAGAGCTCTGGTACAGAAAAAAATTGAGATTGAATTTGGCAGTGTTCTGCTGTGCAGTGCCCCCGGCAGCACACATCTGTCTTTAGGATTCTGGAGTCATCAACTACCCAGCCTCATCCAGCCCCTGGGCCAAGTTAATATCCCTACTTTGAAAGTCTTCAATTTCCAATTTTGCCTCTACCATCTTCCAAGCTGCTGGGTATGACCAAACATCAGAAAGAATCCTTGATGAGCAAAGACTTTCAAACTGTGCCTACCAGAGTGCTAGGCTCCAAAGAAATTCCTTTGGGAATGCAATAGGATGGGTGAAGGGAGGCTGAGCAGAAGGGGCTCTAGGTCCTGCCTCCACAAATGAATTCAGTTGTGTATGCCTAGAAAGTGGCCATGAACTTGCATGCTGAGAGTGTGCCCTCAGAATCAAAATGTCATTTAGACCACTTTTCCTCTGCCAGCTCCCAAGTGAAATACAGGGGACAGAGAACTTCATTAAATGATACCATGGGATGCAATCGCAAAATCCAGAATGTAGAAACTCTAAAAGAGAAATAACCAGTTTCTTCAACAAAGAAAACACAAGATGATAGAAAGAGGTAGGGGAACTGGTAGATTAAAAGGAGCTTGAGACATATCAACAAATTGCAATATGTGAAACCTGGTTGGATCCACTTCAAAAACAACAACAAAAACCAATTAGAAAAAATATGAGGCAAATAGTGAAATCTGACTACAGACTGCGTACAGTGGTTCTCAACCTGTGGGTCGCGACCCCTTTGGGGGTCAAACGACCCTTTCACAGGGGTCGCCTAAGACCATCGGAAAACAAAAAGATATTTACATTACGATTCATAACAGTAGCAAAATTACAGTTATAGAGTAGCAACAAAAATAATTTTATGGTTGGGGGTCACCACAACATGAGGAACTGTATTAAGGGGTCGTGGCGTTAGGAAGGTTGAGAACCGCTGGCTTAGAAGGTAATTTATTAATATTTTATTATATTATATTATTATAATGATAATATAATTATTATAATAATATAATTATTATTAATATTTTAGGTATAATGATGGTAATATGATTTATGTTTAAAAAGAGTCCTTATCTTTTTGAGATAGGTACAAAACGTTTACAGATAAACTGATACGATATGGATTAGCTTCAAAATAAAAGACGGTTAGAGGAGGGGCGTAGGTAGAAGTATATATGAAACAAGATTAGACAAGAGTGGTGTGCAGAGACTGGATGATGGGCACATGGGGGTGGATTTTATATTACTCTCTTTACTTTTGTTTGAAATTTTCCATAATAACAAGTTAAAAAGGTTATGAACACTATGAATAGCATAGCTGAGAAGGTTCATTTTTTCATGTTTTTTTTTTCTTTCCCTTTTTGCCAATACTTATAATTTAGGCCATATTTTTGTAGCTATGTAAATCACTCTAAATTTTTGAAGAGGTAAGATGAGATAAAGTATAAACAAAAAGATATTTGCCTCCTTACCTTATACATGCTTCATGTTAAATCACTATGTTTTTTGAGGTCATCTACCGGGGGTGCAAAAAATGTAAACACATGACTTATATTCATCTTTTGTTATCAATATATACTGAGTATTACAATTTTAATACAGTTTTTCCTTTCTTAAAATGTGTATACTTTTTTTGGCACCCTCTGTATTGACCTACATTGAAATTCTGTGATTGTCCTTTTTACTTATTTAACCTCCCACATTCTGGGTATTTTTACCAAGTTCACCCTCCTTATCACTGATCAATAGATAGATAAAGTATGTGTGTGTGTGTGTATATATATATATATATATATATATATATATATGTGTGTGTGTGTGTATATATATATGTATATATGTATATATGTATATATACACATATATAATAGATGACATGTAAACATATGTCTATATATGGGTGGATATAGTTCATTTTATATATCATCTACACAGAAGAGATCTTTCTACTTATGGATACAGTTTGCAGTGACAAGTCTGCTTTTGCTACTACTATTATTGATTTGCTTTGCAATCATGGTTTTCACTTTACTGCACTTTATTTTTATCCCTATGTTCTTAATAATCACGAAGTCCTCTCTTAATGAGAATGTAAAGCAGCTTTCTAAATTTTTTTTCTTTCATTCAGTAAATCTATTTCAGACGGATGAATTCCTCCCAAGCACATCTTTACTTTTCTTCCTGCTTTTGCAAATGTCCCAGTTTGCTCCTTTTTTTTCTGTCACTCTGAGCCCCAGCAGTCCTTATTCTGGGGAGTTTGGTCCAGCGCCCCTTCTCAGCAATGTGTGAGTGCAGGTGGCCTCTCAGGCCGTGTCAGAGGGCGGGCAGGAGGGATGACCAGGCTAAGCTGGGGCTATTCTACTTGCGGCTCCTGCCTTGTAAGTGTGGATTAATGCAGAGAAACCTAACGATTGACAGACTTAGTAATAAAACTCAGGGTTAGTGGGAAAGCAGTCAGTAGAGTCTATCAGCACTGCGAGAAGGACCACAGCAGAGTTTTGATGCTTTTTCTGGGTAATACAATGCTAAAGGAAGATTGAATCATATACACTTAATTTTTTTTTATAAATGTAGACTATGAATAATAAAAATAGGTAAACAAGTGAATAAAACTGTCTGAGATGCTCAACTGAATTCAGGCTCTGGGATCTGTACCAGGGCAAAAGAAAGAGCAACTCCAGAAACTATTAGTGCCTCAGACAAAGCATTAGTGCTAAGGCTGCTCTGATAGCCACCGATGTATAAAAATAAACATACCAAAGTGAGAGACCTCTAGGGAGTTAAGCTTCTCCAGCATTAGCTTTGTGACAAGTTCATCTGGAATGCTTTGACCACTGACCAGCATCGACTGCAACTGAGAACAAGCACAGATAGTGTGCATTACTGTGTAATATGCCTATGATACAAAGTTTCTTTTAATCATAGTAAGTTTGAAATTTAAGATTTGTTTACCATAACTCCTGATTCAGTTTCACTGGCAATCTGTTCTTCCAAAACTGTCAAAGCTAAAATATGAATTCAAAATATTAGCACAAATTGGTATTAGAATTGCCAAATTAAGAAACACATTCGTGTGTTTTGTAACTGGTAACAAAGATTAACATTTGTATATCACTTTAGAGTTTACAAAGTACATTTATACACATTATGTCATTTAAGCATAACCAAAGTGTGAGGCGGCAGAATGTACTCCACAGAGAACATGTCTCTGCCACCCACTAGCTAAAGGGTCTTGCGGAAGCTAACTTCTTAAAACTTCCGCACTTTCATACTTATGCCCTGTGTGGTACACAAGAGAATGTAGGATGAATTGAAGTTGGGTATATGACAGTGATTTGGAAATGGTAAAGTATCACACAAAGTACACAGTAGTATTAGTCCAGATACTTTTATAACCATTTAGCTATATCCAGAGCCCATTAATTTTATACACTGATTGTATAAAAGGAAAATAGGCATCAAGAAATGTTAAAAACGATAAACACTGATTAGAAAAAGGGGTCCTGAGGCAGAAATTTGAATAATATGTTTCCTTTTTAAGAGGAAATGTTCTATCCCTTGATGGAAGACATCCTGGGATAGAAATGACAGGGCCATGACCTAGGGGAGGACCCAGGAGCTAAATTATGTCCCTAGCTGCTAATAGTCTATTGAACATTTGGTATTCTTTCTTTCTTTATTTTTTATTGTTAGTTTCAGGTGTACAGAACAATGCAATAGTTACCCTTTTCACCCTCACAAAGTAACAACCCCCCTCCCCCCATCCACTGCCCTCCCACCCCCGATATCATGCTTATCTATTACAATTCCATTGAATCTGTTCCCACACTCTACTCCATATCCCGAGGTTATATGTATATATAATTATAGTTGACATACAGTATTATTCAACATCAGTTTCAGAAATACAATGCGGTG